TTTTTTTTTTTTTTTTTTTTTTTTTAATTGTGCTGGAGGTACAAGTTTACAGAGCAGAGTTTGGTTTACATTCAATATTTCATGTACATTTAGTTTCATTCCCCATTTACCATCCCCAACCCTACCCATACCCAGTCATTCTAAAAGAGGGTGTTGTTCAGTTTTCATGTGTTTGCTTTTTTTCCGTTGTTGATTTCTAATTTTATAGCATTGTGATCTGAGAATATGCTTTGCAGTATTTCAGTGTTTTCAAATTTATTAACACCTGCTTTGTGGCCTAACGTATATGGTCTATCCTGGAGAATGTTCCATGTGCACTGGAAAAGAATGTATATTTTGCTGCTTTTGGGTGAAGTGCTCTGTAGACATCTATAAGGTCATGTTGGTGGATTGTATTGTTTAGTTCTTCTGCATCTTTGTTGAGTTTCTTTCCAGTTCTGTCTTTCATTGAAAGTTGTATGTTAAAGTCTACTATGACTGTGTCTTTTCAATTCTGTTAAAATATGATTTATGTATTTTGGAGCTTTTTCATTGTATGCGTAGATACTTATTTTGGTTATATCTTCTTGTTCTATTGATACTTTAATCATTATGTAATGTCCTTCGTTGTCTCTTATGGTGGTTTTTGTCTTAAAGTCAGTTTTATCAGAAATTAATATTGTTATACCTGCTCTTTTTTGGTTGCTGTTTGATTGCTATATCTTTTTCCAGCCTTTGATTTTTAGCTATTTTTGTCTTTGTCTCTAAGGTGTGTCTGTTGTAGACAGCATATTAATGGTTACATTTTCATATCCAGTCTGCAACTCTTCGCCTCTTGAGTGGTACATTTAATCCATCAACATTCAATATAATTATCAACAAGTATGAATTGTTGGTGTCATTTTGCTATGTGTTTTTTTGTGGTGTTCCTGGTTTCTTTGTTTCATATAATTTTCTGTGCTGAGCTCATTTTGTTTATGAATCATGTTATCATTTCCTTTGTGGTAGTTATGTTTGTGTGTCAACTTGGCTGAGCCCGGTTGAGTGCTGGGCAACTGGTGGTAGTTATTGCCCATGATGAGATTGGCAATCATCTCCATGGTGGGATCTACCACAAGCAGCTGAGTAGCTGCCTTTTGGATGTGGTCTGCTTTCTGTATATAAGGAGAAGCTTTGAGAGTGGTCTCTAGCCTTTGGCACGCTTGGACCCTGCATGTAGCCATGTCATT